TAGCACTTCTATAGAATATAGAATATAGGGAACATAGATAAGGCACGTAACCCAATACGAAAAAAGAAGAAAAAGAACGTTGAAGTTCCACTTAGTCTCTCATCGATGATACAATACTGCAAGATCTGATTTAAAAAATTTAATTTTATGGTAACAATAGATCAAGTGATCCCAACTAATCCGAAATTTTAAATTTCAAATATATACAGCGTGTCAATATATTCGTGAAACATGTTTGAAGATTCTATAGATTCTATTCAATTTCAAAACAAAAGTTGATATATTGCTTATTTATTATGATATAAGCAATTTGAGGTTATGTTAGATAAAAGAAATAGAGTACAATGACAACATAACAGAGACAAATTCATTCCGTTTCGTTCTATCTTCTTGTTTCATCTAATACAAAATTAAATTGTTCATAATTTAATAAATAAGCATGAATTGATATATCAATGTTTGTTTGTTTGGCCTCTGAAATTGATATCTCTAAAGATGATAAAGATTTCCACGAATATTAATTATATATATAATATAAATATATTAATTTACCGTATAAATTAGACGGAAACCATTTAAATGTTAATTGAGTGAAGTTATACAAAAGTTGCGTATTACAGAAAATTGATCGACTTAAAAGAGAATATGGAATTGGACTAATGGTCATAAATCTTTACCAATTATAATAGTTCCTCGATAATACATCGGGATTTATTAACAAGGAAGATCACTGTTCTAGAACTGTCAGTGTTATCATATTTTTAATTCTCATTTACTCTTTTAGCGAGAATTATATACAATAAATCTAATTGTAAAAGATCAACAATATTCGCTTTATCCACAGTCTGAACTTATTTATTAAAACTAATTTTTCTTGCGAAAATAACGATATGTGCTCGAAATAATCGATGAGATTCGGTGTGAAAATCAAATTTTGTTAGCCATTTTATTTCATTCGGCACGCTCGAAACACTTATTCCGAGGCTCCATTTCCAAAAATTGGCAACGATAGCGATTAGTTAGAGAAACGTTTAACGAGTAAAAGTTTGAACATCAAAGCGGACCACTATTGTGTATAACAAAAAAACCGTTAGACGCTTATTCGATCGAAATAGTTTCAGGAAGTTGTACTAGATGGCTCTGCATCTCTTCTCATCGAGGCAAAAATCTATTATCGAGACATAATCGTACAAAGCTCGCCAACCGCGAAACGTATTTAACAGAAATACAGATTTTCATTTCAATAAATGATTGGGAATTCTCGTTTGCAATAGAATAAACGAGGAAAATTCGAGAGATATACAAAACAGTGTATAATGTGGGATATAACCTCGTAATCGATGATTAACGTGTTGCGTGGATTACATTCGCTCATGTGTAAGCACGGAAAATCACTATCGTATTAAACAACGGAAGCTTGGAGATCTCTGTTTGATTTTCGATGAAATTTCATTTTACTAAACACTAATTTACGTCTAACAAATTTGTCTGGTTGCCTAATTGAGAATCATATTCTCAAGCCAATGTACCTCAAGCTATGACTTGTGATCAAGAAGGTTAGAAAATAGTTTTTAAAAAATTATTTTTTTATTATTATATTATTATTTAAATTACAATGAAAATTTTCTATAATATAAGCATTTATTTATTTCAATTTTATCCGGAAATGAAATAAATTAAATCATAATTTATTGCTGTGAATATTAAAAAAAATATAGAATATCGTGATGATATGTAAATATTAAATATTTGCTATGACATAGATTTTTAATATTTTTATTATGCATGTATGTAGTTTCATCCTTAAAAATAAAATTTTATTAATTTATTTTATTTTAAATGAATTTTCATGTAATAATGAAGAGAGGTTATAGTTTATTTAGCTTATTATAAAAGTGAATCGTGTTTCAAAAAACATTGAGAAATATTGTGTTAACCACATTAACTTAACTAAACTATAATTCAAAAAAATGCGAGAGAGAAAATTTAATTTTGTTTAAAATCTCAAAATTTCAATCTCGATAATTGCATCGAATCATCTCTATTATATTCTATGCATAAAGAAATGAGAAAAATTCATCGGATTTTCCTCACTTAATTTAAATATTAGATCTTTTCATTATCTGTTAATTAAATTCTTATTGTATCAAAATATGATAAAACTTTACTTCAAATTTTCACCTTTTTGTTTTTAAGTTAAATTACTTTCACAATCGTTCTTATAATTTACGAGTAAAATTTTATTTCATAAAAACCCATCTGAATAAAGATAAAATCATTCAAAATTCTCATAATAAAGATTTATATGAAACATAATTATTTCCAACAATGATCGTGGTATTTATGGCTTTGTTATCCAACATAAATATAAATAAACGATAAATAATTGCAAAAATATACAGGATGACGAAAAAACTTTAATTAGAATAAATACTACTTATTAAATGAAGAAAAAGTTTCTAATAAACGTGATTAGTTTGAATTATTAATAAAATAACTTTAAAATAATTTTTCATAATATTTATTAGGATTTGAAATGATTTCAACAACAATGCTGAAATGATTTCAACAACTTTTTTCTTTATAAAAATTTCTTGTTTTGGTTTTGTCGATGATGAGTTATTAATGAAAAATACCGATTAATTACAGAGAACTCTCATGTAGCGTTGGGTATGCGTCGCTGGCTCGAACAAACAAGTCGAAGTCAAATATGTGTTGAACTTTTAATTATTCAACACATTTATTCGAAACATGTTATTTCAACTTGTTCGTCGAATGAGTTATTGTTATTTTTCATTAATAACTTGTTAATAAAATTGAAACGAAAATTTTTGCAAAAGTTGTTTGAAATCACTTTAGAAATTATCAATTGTTGGTTGATTTCTAGGACATTTATATGTGTATTCTGGGATGCATTGCACGAGTAAATATAATTGGTTAGTTTTTATCAATAATATTGCAATTACGTAAAGAAAATTCTTTTTTAAGAAAAATTTCATAAAATTGGAATCAAAATGTAAATATCTTAAGGAAAAATGTTTAAATATTAAGGAATAGATTTTTAAATATTAAAAAATATTACATCATAAATAATACTCGAGTATTATTATTGATAATTATACTTATTAATTTTTTTTTTGTATTATTAATATTATACTATTAGTTAGAATAAAGTTTAGATAATTTAATTCTGCAACTTCAAGAGAATTACGAAGAAAATTATATGTGTATATATTTCGTGAGATATTCCAAAATTTCGAGGCCTCGAGGATTGAAACATGGTTCGAGAATATTCGGATATCGGAATCCGATAGAATTTTGTTTCGTGAAACTGTCTTACAATTAGAATAAACTGCCGATATACCAAATGGTGCTCTGCTCTTATTATTGATCACGTGACTCGTAACTTAGATCGATGATTGCTTATTTAATATCTTTGAAAATAAAATGTACAAGAAAAAATAAAATAAGTTACAATAATATGATTATTTTTTCTGGATTATTAACGATTGAAATAACAATTTTTATTTATGTGATTATATTTGCAAACTTGTCGAAAAGTTGAAAAAATTTGATCAAAATGTACTATAATACAAAGTGAAATTAAATGAATTAATTGAAATCTGGTTCTTTATTTTTCAATTTGGAAAAAAATAGAAAAATCAATACAACATAAACTAAAATTCATTTGTTATAAATAATTTTTGTTACAACATATTCATAAATTGGAATCGAAAGATTTAAATGAAAAGCAGCTTAAAGAAATATTTGTATGATTTAATATTTTTTATTTGAAATTTTATTTGAAAACGATATAAACGATGCGCATACGTTGGTTTTTTGAAAACAAATAATCATTATTCTTTATAAACTGGCATTTATTTAGAATTATAATGCAATTTATCGACTCTGATTTAACGATTAATTTAGCAAAAATATATACATATATATTATACTCTATAATATATAATATTCTGTATTTGTTAATTTATGCATCTCGCGTTTCACTCATTATTGCCAAACTGTATTTTCTTATTGTTCTAATTGTATCCTTGATTAATTTCAAATCTTATAGAACTAAATATATTTAACTCGATTTATTTATAGAACAAATAACTTGTATAAACAATTTTCTTTTACAAGTTGCATTGTGATCTAATAAAAAAAATCTAATAAAAAAACATTTCTCAAAATGTTAAACCGCTTATGTATACGACAGATTTTCTACCAAGTTACACCGACTGTTTAATGTGCTAACCATGTTCCTTAAATAACATCAGCGATGAGAAGTACATCCTGAAAGAGTGTTTTTTAAAGTTACTATAAAACAAAAGCAATCTTTATATTGAACGTTTAAATATTTTGGTTTCGAATTGTATTTTTGGATCGATCTTCCATAAAATCTCAATTTCTTATAAAAAAGTTTCAGTCTATATGAAAAAGTAGCTCTCGTTTTGACAAAAAAACATAAGGGTCAGAATAAAAAAAGGAAAAAAAAAGAAAAAACAATCATACGCGAATCATTAAATAGCAGATGCACAAAAAGAGACTGATTTCCGTTAAAAAACGGCTATTATTAATTGAAAATAATAGCTTGAAAAATGGATTTTGGCATCACGAATATATTAAATATCAAAAAATAGGTTCGAGTCAAAATATCTCTTAAATCAATTTTATACGCTTTGTTATCCCACTATGTAATTCGAAATCCACAATAAATCAGAGCTCAATTTTTTTTGTTTTTGATGTTCATTTTTTATTTATGAAACGTAAGTAAAAACAATCATAAGCAATTATTGGCCGGTAATATCGGTTACGCAATTATCTCTTTTAATTATTCTTCTTTCCAATAGCTGGCGCTTTTTGTACGATTACGAGACGCAAATGTCGACGCACACAATGTTTATTTCCCTATATATACACGTATATATAATACACGTGCCATACGCTCGCACTAACCAGTTAACCGCGATCGAGAGACGAGTAAGCGAATAGTTAAAGTCACGCGAGGAATTCAACTCTGCAACGAGACGAATGAATGTGTATGCGGACGTGCACAAACCTGATGCACCGCGGGGATTAACAGCGTTCACTTTCACGTGCAATTATCTGCTTTTACGAGTGTGTCTCTCGGGAAACATTATCGCGCGAGGTAGTAACGATAGTCCTCTTGTTTCTCCTTCATAGAGGGGACAAAGACGAGAAATGGATGGTTAAGACTTGGTTGGTGGGCGAGAAATTTTCCAATTCCACTTTGTTAGTTGTAACAGGTTGTTTTCTCGTGCGATCGAAACGTTTACACGCGATCATTACTTTATTTCCGCGCAGCACGAGCGCCTAGGGAATTTTGTTTGAAGAAATGCAAGCGCGAGATACGTACCGCGCGATATATATAGATATACACGAATTTTAGAGGATATAATATTAACGTTAAACGAAATGCAAAAAAATTTTTTTTACACTTATTTTTCTACACTTTTTTTTTATTGATATATAAATTGATATGTAAATTGATTTTGTTTTATTTTATTTTTTCTTTTTTTTTAAATTAAGCTATTTTTTTTTATAAAATTTTACTGATTGGTAAAAAAGACCTTATTATTTAAAGTATTAAAGCTATACATATAGATTTCATATAGATATTTATAGTATATTTATATTTGTATAATTTTTCACGATAACGCGAAATGACTTCTTCGACTATTTTATTCATTTATCAACTTATACCTACAGATTATCATCTATTTAGAAGTTTGAAAAAAATAAAATAACGAGAAGAAAAAAGCAAAACTGAATTGATTAATTAAGAAAGAAGAACCTATGAATCTCTTTGAAATTCAAGATTAAAAAACTTTCTCTTTACTCACGGAAATATATGAAGGTTAATGAAATATCCTATGACAAACAAAAAATGGTAAATTAAGTAATATTTCAATAGTTGTTATATAATAAAAAGAAATTCGCAGATATACTCGCGGCACAATACGAAACTATAGTATAGTGTGAACAGTTTAGAAACTTTAATGTATCACGTTTCACATCGAAATTCCCTAGAAACGACAGATTGTCATCTCTCACGAAACAAACACGAATTCTGTTAATTGGCAATTTCGCTTTCTCCAATACAAACTTTCTCAACTATGGATATTCATGAGGACTTAAACTGTTCTCATTTTCGTTATTATTTCATTTTTCCTTATTTTCATCTTGGTCCATCGACATCATCTTTCCTATTTAACGGTTTATGCCCTTTCTCTCTCTCTCTGTCTCTTTCTATACGGTTATGTTCGTTTTTTTTTTAACTATCCCATCTCCCTCGTTCCCCCGTTCGTTGTATTTGCAATGCATACCGAGGAGAGGTCTTGCGCTACCCCATGGAAGATTATCCCTGGGGTATAATAAAAATTTTTCTTTCCAGATGCTACCAGACAAAATTTCCTTCGTAATGGAAGTCACTCTATTATCTTACCTTGGATAATTAGGTCGAACCGCTCTAGGTATTTTTCTTCCCCTCCAATCTTCCCCTCCATTCTACCCGTTTAACGCGCGGACACAGCATTGCAGCGAGAATAAATTCAGATGTGAATTAATGCGAGCGGAAAACTTAATGGAGATGACTCAGGTGGATCGAACTGTGGATTACTTTCGCTGGAAATATAAAATTATGTAGAAATTCGTTTGACGTCCTGTTTTATCAGACGTTGATCTTCAATTTTTCACCAGCCATAGAATATTATAAACACAAAAAAAAGATAAATTGCCCTTCTCACTGTTCCTTTTCAAGATGTATTTTCTAAATTATTATATAAATTTTTCATCGTAGAGAAATGAAGGAATATAAATTTTTTTTAAGAAAAAAAAAAAAAAAAAAAAAAAAACTACACTACAGCTAGTTTTTCAAAATATTACCTTATTTTCACATTTTCGTTATCTATAAAATTGTAATACAATTCGTTGCGCGTTGCACAATTTTGATTTTAGTTTGGAAACGATTGCTTCCGTTCAAAATATTTTTTTATCCGCGAATATTCCGAATACACCGGTATCACGTAACGATAAATATAAATTTTGAATTTTTTTCGATTATTCCACGAATTTGAAAGAAAATTTTTATTCGAATTCCATACTATATGATATACAGTTATAAATAAAACTTGTTTCAAGCTTTTCATAACATTCGCTATTATTATTATCAACGAATAAAATCGAATCGAATTTCAAATTATATTTCTTTTTCTCTCTTTTAGTTTAATTTAATTGCCAAGTCACATACATTTTATAATATGTTATATATATCATAATATATTTTGCCAATTATAAAAATATAAATTAACACAGTTGAAAAGGTTATATTTTATTACTTTGTATTCACCCGGTATATTATCGTAAGAGAATATACTTGGACAATTATTTTAGACACCGAGGTAAATAAATTGTTCGAAACGTTCGTCGAAGTAATTATGTGATACAATTTCACAGTAGAGAATACCGATCTGAAATGTAACTAAGAGAGAAGAACTAGAGAGATAACGTCGACATGAACCTCTGCACAACTTTATACTATCCATTGGCACGCCTAGTTTTACATGTTGGGAAAAAGTTATACTTAAAGTTAAAAAGAAATCCAGAGATGAGATAAGAAGATTTATCCGTGGCATTAGACGAGTTAAATTGAGGATAACGTTCTCAATTCTGCGATGATCGAAATTTGACGTTCCGCAGAGCCATCTATATCGACTAATAATAATTAGAAAAGACGAGTTTTGAGTGAAATTTCGATCTATCCAAGTGTGAAAACTTCATTTTAACAAAATTGCATGCAGTCGACCGACGAAAATGTATCTGCCAATATTATCGATCGATAGATATGAAAAATAAAAAAGGAAAGAAAAAGAGAGAACGAAAAAAATATTGAACGGGGAGATTAATATAGAAAAAGGGATGAAAATTTTCTATCATTAAAATTTAAAAAATTGAACCAACTTGAACAACAATTATTGTTTTTTCTACATATTTAAATACTTTTTTCTTTTATTTCTAATCATGAAAAATTATTATGAAAAATAATATATATATATATATATATGTACAATTTAAATTCTAAAGGAAAAAATATTTTCCTCGTTTATAAAATTAAATCTGTAATATATTTGCCTCGTGTTAATTGTTATAGATCTCATATAGTTCATTGTTTATGCCGTTTAAATCAGAAACGTATTCTTTGAGACAATTAAAAACCAGTTAACGGTAGTTACACAGCTCAGAACGAATGGCAATATCAGAAGTACGTTAATAATTTCGTTTTTGTGCCGAGTGATACACCGGGTGGAGATAATTAATTACACCTGGAAAATAATTAACTGCGCCATTGCAACTGTGCTCTAATGAATTCACGGTACATTTACTTTCGCAACGAATTATTTCCCTCTAGTAAAGGGAAGGAGGGAGAGGTTAGAAGATGGGAGGGGTAGCAGAGAAGAAGGAGATGGAGAATAAGGAGAAACGAGAGGAGGATGCTATATAGCAAAAAGGCGTCACTTCTTTTGAAAAACAAAGGCATCACAATGGGCGCGCACAATGGCACGAAGCTCGCCCGAGTAATAAAATTAAACTCACTTCAATTTAAACTCTCTTTTGTAAACTTTCACGGAATGATTTTAAAGCGCCGCAAGAATCATCGTAATCGTGCTACGAAAGATAAGACATTCCCTTTCTCTCCTTCTCCATTCCTTATTCCTTCCTTTCTCTTTCTATTGTCTGCTTCCTTCCATTGATAGAGTCCATTCCTTTTTTCCTTTTGTTATAAAAAAATAAATGTTCGTTCATTTGTCAAATAAATTTAAATTTCACAAATATGAAAAAAATCTTGTGAAGATGAAGATTTGAAATTTTATTCGAAAACTTCATTCATTCAAAATAGCGAAGTACAATTCCTTTCGTATGTTATTCATGTTCGTAATTTAAATTTTACGAATACGAAAAAATCAGAAATAAAAAAAAATAAAAAGAAGAAAGAAAGAAATAAGAAATAAAAAATATCTATGACAATAACAATCTAAAATTTTATTTAAAAAAATTATATGTATGTAATGTAATTTTTCTTTCACATATTGAATAAAATGCAATCTGTATGTTATTGGATCAAAGGGTGTTGACATTTAATGCTATTATTTAACGTCATAATATAGAACCACAGATTGTGCTAGATTATACTAGTTCATCCAGCAGTATATGTTACTGTACGTGACCAAGATGCCATAGAATCACGTGTGTCGTAATCCTCTTTGCTCTCAACGTGAAAATGGGCCACTGATTGGAGAAGTCGGCGTAAAAGCGCCTCGTTACGCACAAGGAGCCTTTTAAACATGGGTCATGTCAGATTACTACGTTTATTTATAGACCGACGAAAAAAATTGATCGTGAAATCGATCGAACGACTCAGTTTCGTCCAGTTTCGAACTTTACAATCGAAGTGGGCCTTTTATATTTACATTGCCTTTCTTTCTTTCATCCATAATATCGAATGAAATATTTCTAATTTTTTTTCCAACTTATTTGCAATTATATTTTTATATTGATTTCTTCAATATCTAGAGAAGTTGATTTGACGACCGATTTTTACGTTTCCGGTATACATATAGTAAGAGAGGAAACGATAAAAGGTGATACGGTACATACGAGTTTAGTTCAGAAAGTTTTTATCGCCCAAAGTTGCCTGATACCGTGAATTTCAAAATTCTCTCAATTCAAAATAAAGATACAAATAGATGGATAGAGATAGACAGAGAAAGAGAGAATACTTGTCCATAAAACGAATAATAATTAGACCCAAGTATATATATATTGTTATTATACGACGATAGAATTTAAAAAAAAAATTTATTTTACACGCAAAAAAATTTCGTTTAATTTATTTCTACAAAAATAACGAGAATATTATTCTTGTATAACGACCTACATGTAATTACGAGACGTACTTTCATTGATGGTTCGATTTTAAGCAAAACCTGATACGGTTTAACCGGTTTCAGTCCGTGACACGTGCCAATAAAATATACACTTGCTTATGCAGTATCATTCAAAAAACATCAATGAGAAAAATTTAATTTTAAATGTGAAACAGGCTTTTGTACCAGTATTTAAACATTATTTACATATTCGAAAAATATCCTCGATAAACATAACCTATTATTTTTTTTCAGATATTTTTAATTATTCTTGCAAACGATTATCGAGCGAATAATAAATCTTCGTACGAATTCAAGGACTATTTCACTTGTGACACATTTTTACGAGATCTTTATAATCCTAGTTGACGGCTTGACATACCATTTGCGGATCATTTCACATCGATTCGTTGCTGTCGATGCGTTTCTCTATTGCAAATGCAAACATTTGCTCGCAATCGTTTATATTCACTCACGCTTGGCGATATTAGCATTGTCAAGGAATGTGTTGTCGGTATTCGTAAGTGCAAGATGTCGTTAAATCTTAAAGAAAATTTAAATGAGAATATTAGCGATCATTACTATTATTAACGATTCATATAATCAGTATATATAATCGAAGTAAATCTTCAATCGTAAAAAAATAAAATATATCATTAAAAAACTAACTTTAATTAATGATTCAAAAACGAATAAAACAAACTAACATGATCTACAATTATACAATTGTCATTTAAAATACATAATTCATATGAAATGTTTCATGAGATAGAAAAATAGTTGTACGACGAAAATAGGTTAGAAACGTGCTCCTACTAACTTATATTTTCTCGCATCTCTACTCTAATAAAAATGAATTATTATATCACGAAAATGTTTATCGCCAGATAACGCCAGATGTCGCCAACTGTCCTAATTCTTTACGCGCACACCAAAGATTATTTAGGTGACCGAGGCACATCAATTTGAACTACATTACACATGGCATTAAAGCTCTTACTGCGTGAGCTTGGCCGTCAGTTTATAAAACCACGAAACGGTGTGTAAGCGAGTCGATACATGGCAAGCTTTCCAAGCATAAAAGCCCATTGCGTTTTACTTACGTTTTCACTGGTCAGAGAGCCATCGCCGACCGGGTTTTATTAAACCATCGTTTATATGGGAGGGGGGAAGGGGGGTTACACATACACAAGGCAACGAATAGCTTTTTTTGCCTAGTCATTATACGTTTCTACCTCGATTTATCAATTGCTCGGAAAGCTAGACGAAAGTTGAACGAGAATCAACCTTCCCTAAGCCTATATATAATATACTGCCATCGTATCTGAATTCAAAACGCGTTTGTATTTCAGAATTAATTTTTTATAGCTTATGCTAATTAATTCATAAAACAAATAATACGCGTGAAATTTATTGAATCGAAAATTCTTTAAGTTATTTTTTTCCTTATTTTCTTTGGCGATGTTATAATAAAAAAAACTATTGAAAAATATTTTGAACTGATGTTACAACATGACAATATACCATTCGTTTGATATAAAAATGTATTTTGATCAATTGATGCAATCTGATCGGATTGAATTGCCGATCGGGTTTTTTCAAGAAATAGTGTGAAAAACAAATGGAAGAAAATAAATATTATAATTTTTTTTTTTGCACTAAAAAAAGTGTCCTATTCTCGTAATTTTTAATATATATATTTTTTAATTCGTATAATTTATGAATATATCAGTTTTAATTCATAAAATAAAACTTTTAAAAAAGTGTATTTACATTTTCTAGAAAAATGTGACTTCTTTTGAGCATAACAATATCCGTTTAATCTTTGCGTTTTAATCAAAGAATTAATTGAATAAGGTTTATTAATGGAAATGGTTTTTTTAAATTTATTTTTGTAAAACGATATTTTCATTCCGCGATTTTATTCCAATAAATACATATGAATACTAGTGTCCATGTTTTAAAAATAACGCAAATTAAAATATAGATAAATTAATACGCGCGTAATTAAATATATGAGCACTTTTATACCCGTATAAAATAATTAAAAATAAACGAATAATACTATTATCTATTAAATACACGTGTCAAATAAAGATTTCTAAGAGAAAACCAAACCAATTGTTATTTTTAACAATTTACAATTTATTANAGATTTCTAAGAGAAAACCAAACCAATTGTTATTTTTAACAATTTACTGTATTTTAAAGATCGAGAAAGTACGTCTTATCTATTTTCCTATCTACTTTCGATTTTTGTCTATTGTTTTCGAACTCGAAATCCATAATAAATATATTATATTTATTATATTTATATATATTAAT